GTCCCCACAAACTTAAGCCACAAGCCTCTTTCTCCCCTCTCTCGCTCTTAATGCTCTCTCTTTAATTGATATATAATCAATTTAGTTCTCACAATGTATATACTCGCATTCTCCCCTCCCGCTCACTTCTCCGCTTTCTCTTTGGTGCCTGAATACCCTTTCATATTACCTCAGAATATTTCCAGCAGCGCGCTTATTAATTAATCAAATTAATTAATTATTTTATGAGAATTTTATAAAGTATTAACTAATTCAATAATTTTACTCTAATAAAACCTTGGTTACAATTTACTCTACTTTGATTCATAATTTACTTAACTTTTATAACATAACCTAACCTAACTTAAGCTGAAATTTGTTGACTGTGTGGCAACACTGGCAAAAGAAACAGTTTCTATGCTTGACTGCAGCTGTACTTATAGGCACATTTTTTAGGAGGGCGGCAACGGAATAACACGCCCTGGAGACATACAAGTAATAAATGCAATTGCTTTTACGGCAATCGGAAGGTGTGTTGCCCAGACTCAACTTACTGCAGCAGCAGTAGCCGCAGCAGTAGACAGCAGTAGCAGTAAGTGAGGCAGTTAAATGCCACAAAACTGTGAAACTTTAAACCGTTTATCATTCGAATTTCAATTTCAATACGATTTGATTTCATTTTTCAATGATTTAACAATTCCCAGCGAATTAAAGGTCAACCACAAATGAGGCCAAAGAAAAAATAATATGAATAAAAAACATTTCGTTTCTCATAATTAATTGGATAGAATGACGCCAGAGTTGGCTTGATAAAAGCCGAACTGAAACTGGCTAGCTATAATTTTTTTCTTTTTTTTTTTAATATTAATTTTGACCCGCGTTGAACCGAGTTCCGGTTTTCCAGGGTTCAGCGTAGAAACTTCAAAGCGGAACGCCAACAATTGACCATAAAAGTCCACTATGCGAGTACCGTTAATGAGTGTGCGTGTGTGTGCGAGTGTGTGTGTGTGTGTGTGCCAAGCTGAGCGTGAATGAAACGAAGAGGAGCAGGAATAGATGTTGGCCATAAAGCAATGGCCATAATGCAACGCGCCGCCAAATGCAATTGTAAAGTTGCGGCCCGCCTCCCGCCGGCCACGCCCCGCACTTTTTATGGCTGACAGCAATGCTTAATTAGCCATGCAACGAACGGGCAGAGGCAGAGGCAAGTGGCAACCCAATCTGGCATCAAATGTGGCATGTGGCAACAAGAACAACAACAGGTGGCAGCTAAAGTCGGTCAAAGTAAAAATGTGGCACAAACGGTTTCTTCTTCTTCTACTTCTCTTGTTGCAGATGCGATCAAGTTAAGAATGAGATAATTATCGGTAAGGTATCTACAGATGCGAATATCTAGTTTGAATCTGAAGAGCTGCTGCTTCCAGTCTGCTTCAATTCGGGTCTTGCCTCATTTATATTTTCGGCTTTTTATGAAATTCACGTAATCCCTTTTATTTTTATGATCTCATAAGCGCTTTTATGTACGCATTACTCAAACATCACTTAGGCACTTTTTGCCACATTGCCTGAATATGTACAGAAAGTTTTCAGAATAGTCAAAGACAAAAAAACAATTGAATCCTAACCCTAAATCGATGACAATATAAACATTGTATTATATTGTGTGCCCAATATTTGTCTTGTCTTTGCCTAAACACAGTTAGTTTCGAAATTTATATTACTTTTTTTAATATAAGTATATATTTTCCCCATAGAAATTACCACATCATCGTCCAAAATGCGACGTGAAAATAATTCGATTTTAAGCTCGGACTGAAACTAATTGAAGATTTGTTGAGTAATTATTTTTCAAAGATTTGATATGCTTATACACTGAACGAAATATTAAGGCAATAATAAAATCTTCTACTTAAATAAATGAGAATTATTTAAATATACATTTCTTTCTAAGAGAAACTTTTACAATTAATTTCATGGCCCAATTTTTTCAGTTTTACACTGACAGAAATTGGTTAATTGGTTTTTCGGCTGGAACTGGAACTAGTTTAAAACCTTTCAGAGACCCTATTTATCAAAAACCTGAGCAAGCACATTAAAAGAAACTTCTGCATTTACTTAACAGTTAATTTATGCATGTTTCATTTTATACACTGCCAGAAAAGACTATCACAATTATAAAAAAATATCGTAACACGAGAGCAGCTTCTGGAAAAAATCCAGTTTTTCTACTCCACGCGAGTTTATGAATAATGCAAAAGTTTAATTAACTCAGTTTCTTTAAGTGTGTGCCCCTCCACCCCCTCTACCACCCCCCCCCCCCCTGTTGTTTGCTACACTCAAAGATATTTCACTTTCGTCAGAGCAGTTAGTATCCAATTAGTATTTTATCTGTTTTCCTCTTATCTACGTGTACGATCTTCGCCTTGTGTTTCTCTCATCTTCTTCTTCTGCTTAACAACATCATTTACACCTGTTTTCAATTATAAGCGATAAGTTTCCCTTCGGCGGAGTCTGTTTGCTGTCGCATTGGCTCATCTCTATGCACATAACGGTGTATTTACCTGGCTCCGACGTTGAGCGCGATGTGGAGGCCGATGAGCTGGCCGATGATAGCATGCCCGAAATGTCCGTTTGCACGGCGACACTTATTTTGGCCATTATTGTCGCAAGCTTTGCTCTTACGCCACGCTCTCTCTCTCTCTCTCTCGCTCACTCCTATTTACTACTCCTGGGCCACCCCTGGCGGCTTCACCGTGACCCACTTAAGGTTACTTGGCCAGCTGTTAGTGTACGCCAGGCGGCGCCACTTGAAATCAATTTTCGAAATTAATTTGCGTTTTTAAACATTTCAATTGAATGTTTACTTTCAGCGCGGGGCGTTTTTTACTGTTTCGTTATTTTTTTAGAGATTTATTTACACGCTGTGCGCTGACCTCGAAAAGTTGGGAAACTCGGCAGTAAACAAAAAGAAAACCCAACGCCAGCAGCCGCTGCACTCTTATAACGGCACTCTTATACACTCTTATACGGCAGCCAAAAACACGCGACTTTTATGAATGGGTGGCAAAGTTTGATGGGGTTTGTTGAGATTCGTTTTGTTGTTGCTATCACAGTTAAATTATTTAGTTTGATGGAAAGGAGATTCCTGTATAAAAATAGTTATGCGAGTTCTTAAAGCGCGCGGAAGCACAGTGAAAAACAGTTAGAAGCAACGACGACGACGACTACGACGGCGACGACGACGACGGAAGCAGAACCGCTTGGAACGCACGCTGAAAATGAACTGAGACGGCGACGGCGACGTTTCAATGGTTTTTGGCGCAGCAGCTTTCAGGTAGAGAGCGCACAATGAGAGCGGGAGAGAAGCAAGCGACAGAGCGCGCAGCGGCAGCCAAATGTTAACTTTTGAACTTGGTTTCACACGTGTGTGTGTGTGTGCCCGTATGCTGACTCAGTATATGTGTGGACGTGTGTATGTGTGCCGTCAAAAACAACAACAAGAGCAGCGCAGACGTCAATATGTAGCAGCGAGACGACGTCATTTTCAAAAGCAGATGATATGCGATGATAGCAGCAACAACAATAGCTAATGACGGCGACAAACGCACACACACCCACACGCACACGCACAAAACACGCAAGCTAAAGCCACAGCTTCAGAGCCACAGCTTAAAGCGCCGTATTAAGCGCGCCACCTAGCGCCCTTTTTCTGTTACCTATTGCCTTCAGCGCGTGGCTGTCCTCATAATTCTTTCTGTTTACAGTTTACGAGCTGCTCGGCATTTTTTCAACAAATGATTCAATAAATTTTAAATATTTCCGCTGTGGTGAAAAAAAAAAATTACGTCAGCTGCAAAGGAAAATTTTCTTTTCTCTCGCTGATCAAAGCAGCATTTGCTACGAATGCGCATAAATTTAAATAAATTATCACATGCTAAACATATATTGTTTGCGCATTTTGTGCCAGCTACAGTTTGTGAGGCATGCGCATAACTAAGACACCTTTAGCAAAGGCACAGTGACTGCACAACTGTACGGCATTTCTTTGGTTAATAATAATAAATGAAATAAATTTGTTTTTGGACGTGAAAAAGTATTTTGAGCTAAATGAAATGCTCAATTAAATTCGAGTACAAGTGTGTGGCCCATAAACCGTGCGTCAGTTAAAAAATTAAATTAGTAGAGTAGAGAAATAATAGAATTAAGTCCAAAAACTAAACGAAAATAATGAAAGAAATCTAAATACTAAAATTAATTTTGGTTAAACATTTGACAAAAACACAAGCATAATTAATAAAATTACGTGTAGCTAAACGAAAACAAAAACACCAATTAAAATATTTTATAGATAATATACGACTATTCAAAAAAATCAAAAACTACAACAGTTTTAAATGCATTGGTGTTCTTTTTCTTTGCTTCATATAAAAACAATAAATTTTATTTGCCAAAAAAGAGAAAAAATAAATGCGCAAAATAAATAATATTTTCTATTTTTTTTTTCACTTTAAAATAATATTAAAACAAATGCAAAATTAAATTCGATGCAAAATGCGTTTTGTCAAATGCAAAAACAAAATTTTTCCAAATCATAATAGTTATACAAAATAATACAAAATAGTATATATAAAAAAAAAAAAGAGAAAAAAAAATAATACAAAATTAATTCGCTTGGCAAATTTACAAGGCACACGGTTTGAGAGCGACTGCACTGTTTCAGAGCAAACCCCGAACGCCGGCAAAGAGACGCTCCAGCCGCCCCATGGGCCGATTGACCAGCGCATAGAGCGACCGCAGCGTTCCGGCCAGGAATCTATAGAGCGTAAAGTGCTCCAGCATATTGCCCAGATCCAACACAAAGTCTATCAATCGGGCCACAAAACGCGTTATGGGCGCACACTTGCACTCGACGATGGGCGTGGCAAGAGCAGTAGCAGTAGCAGCAGAAGCAGCGGCAGCAGCAGCAGTTAAGTTTCCAGTTGCAGTTGGGATTAGATGACAGCCTGCTGGCAAGGACTCACCTTTTGTCTGGCCGGCGCACTGTGTCGATAGCACCGTGCCAGGCGGACCCCTCAGCACGGCTTCCAGGCAGCGTATATTGTCACGGCAAGTGTTGATTATCTCGTTCTGAAAAAGAGGATTTATAATTTAAATTAGTTTAATTTAAGTCAAAAGCTGAAGAATTCTTAAATCTGCATTAGTTCTAAGTTCTAAGAGAATTGCTTTTGTATATTCTCTGACTAATCATAAAAAAAAGCTCAACAGCAAAGTAAATAGTAATCAAATTGCTTAAAGCTCTATTAAAGCTTAGCGATTATAAACTTCCCTTGCTTAAATATTCCTTGATATATTATAGAGAAAGCTCAGCAAAGATGTAATCACATAAATGTATGTAAAAAGGCTAACATCTCTTGATATTTGATAGTTTTAGAGTAAAGCTTACTTAAAGCTTAAATTAAAGCTCATTGAAAGCTTTGTCTTAAACTCACCTAAAGCTTAGCTGCTCTTAGCTATCTTTATAGTCTTTTTTGGAATATTTTAAATTTAGTGTCTCCATAGAAACTTATATAGAAAAAGCTAACTTAGAGATAAGAACTTTTATCGTGATGAAATATTTTAAATAGGACTTTTGAAACAAATTAATGAAATCGTATGAGGCAAATCTATCATTAAGCTCCAATTGAAACAATCGTATATACAGTTTTTGTATTAAAAGTATTCTATATAGATTTGTATCACAAATTCGATAGCATCTGTCTGGGTGGGGGGTATATAATCTTCCAGATTAAATAATTTTTCCTTTAATAATATAAATGTAAGATTTACCCCATGCCAAAAGGCGCGATATATAATTTTCTCTCTTTCTTTCATTTCTCCTCAAACACATAAATTATATATATAATTTCCCTTCGTTCGCTCTCTGGGACTTACATAATCCTCGGGTCGCAGCAGATGACAGCGTATCTTGAGGGCGCGCGTATCCTCGAGTCGATCGCGACTCTGTTGCAGCAGGGAGCGCATCTCCTGTTCCCCATCCTCGGAATCGTCGCCGCTCGACGAGGACGTGGCCGGTATCAGCTTGATGCACTTCTCCAGATTGCGCGAGGAGCGTCTGCGCTCATCGGCGGTCACCGTGCGGCGACGTCGCGTCGACGTGTCGCTCTCCGAGGTGCGACGCAGCAGCGACTGGGCCGAGTGGCTCATGCCGGCGCCAAATTCCAGTTTGCGACCCACGGATTCATTCCGGGTAACTGCTGGCAGCTGTTGGCTGGCAATCGCATGCTTGGGCGTCGTCAGGGCCGTGGCCGAGGACGAAAGATTGGCGGTCGTTGCCTGCTGCTGTTGCTGCTGCTCCTTCTGGGAGCTGATGGCCTCCGCCATGTCTGCAAGGATGGGATGTGAGGATTAGCTTCATGTCAATTCTCTAGAGAGATTTGTGCCTACCTTGACACGACTTGCGTCGCACTTCGAGCGTCTTGCGACGTCGCTCGTACTGCAGCTCGAGGGCGCGCTGGCGACGGGCGTGGTCCACGCTGCTGCTGATCGTCTCCTGGGTGATGTGGAGGGCCTTCTGCTCGTGCTGCTGCAGCGAGTCCATGCGCGGTGGCGAAAACGAATCCAAATTGTTGGCCGCCGACAGCGAACTGCAGCAATCCGACTGCGAGTCAATGAAATTGCTGCAGGCCACAAAAAAAATAAATGAATATAAATTATATATAAACTGATTTTTGATGGGCGAACTATAAATAGTTGACGTCAAAAATTTCTTGGCACGCCTCCTGAAGGCCTCCGTCGCGAGCACTCACCGATAGTCATCGCCGAATTCCAAGAGACGACGCGCTGCATCCGAATCAAAGCCCTCCGAATAGTTCTCCGAATTGTATTTCTCTTGATAGTTGTCCCAGGCCGTCTCCGAGATGCTGCTGTGATGCTCCTCAGTGCTCAGCTCTATAGCGGAAAACCAGAAGTAAAGTTCAGTTAGCAATGATATAGTTTGGGTTGGATTTCTTTTTGCTTTGGTGATTTTTTTGGGGTGCATGTCGTGGTACCTTTTTGCCTGGGTACGGGCGTGCGTGCTTGTGAGAGAGAGATTTATACAATAGATAGACAAAGAGTGTTAAATATATCTGTGTACGTGTGCCTCTTGTGGCATATAAAGATATTGAAACGATTTGAAAAAGGGTTACAATATAAAATTTATTTTATGAACAAGACGGGGTTTCGTTGGAAATTAGGATTGGGTTAGTAATTCCTACCTTCGATTAGTTAAATGCTTTTGTTTGTGTATTTTTTAAACAAAAATTTTAAAGTGAGTTTAAAGCTAATGGAATGATAAAGAAAAAGTTGCACACAACTATTTTCCGCCTATTTTCAACTGTTGCAGGTGGAATTGCGAAAATCGCTGAAATATGTATTTATTAATTTAGTTTATATATACACCTTCATCAATAAGGCTGAAGTCGATCTTTTGAAGTCAATTTTCCACACAAGGATGCATTTTTCGAATAATGTGAAACATGTCTCAATATAATATTTATAAATATCTTGGGATATAAGTTTGAATGGTTAAAACTTGGACATTTTTCACACCAGAGCGGAGGATTGTGCGAAAAGTGTGAAGCACTTCGCGAATAAACTTTTACAAAGTAAAGAAACATGTTCCCAAGGATTTTTTGCGCTTCAGCTAAACTTTTCTACAAAATAACGTCCCAGAACGGAAGGAAACAGCTGTCAAAAATTTCAGCTCACTAGCTCAATCATCATCAATCATCAGTCAGTCAAAAGTTGAATGTCTAGATAGATGAGTGTTAATTGAATTGTTTTGCCTTTCTTTTTAAGAATTTAACTGGAATACCTCAATGATTAATAGAAACGTAAGTATATGAACAACAAAAATAACATAAGGGCCGAGTGAGAAAGATGACATCATGATCGTATATACATATATGTATATATCATTTATGCCAAGTAGGGAAGTGAGCACTCACATCGTTTCAATAACATTATAGCACACTCTATTAAAGATAACCAACTCAGTTATGACCACCTCCCGAAGGGCCCCTTCGTCGCCCTGCACTCACCTGCTTGCTGCTCGTCCTCGTGCATGTAGTTGGAGAGGGCTGCGAGGGCGCCTAAGCGGATTTCGCTGGCCATCAAAGCGGCTGTGGTGAAGGAGCCCACGCGGAACTTGGGCACCATCAGCTGGGACTCGGCGTCGGCTTCGGTGTTCGTGGGCTCGTCCGTCTTGGGGCTGCCCTTTTGTATGCTCAACAGTGCATTGGTGAACTCTTGGAGCTGCTGCGAGGACATCGACTCGCAGGACTTCATCAGCGTCTGTGTGAGATCGCCATGCGCCTCCGAGCCCGAATCGGACTTCTTGCCCGCCGAGGCGGCGGACATGCGCTTCTTGCGGGCACGCCGGCGCCGCAGCAAACCCTTGCTGTCCGCCTTGCGTGCCGCATTGCTGCCCGTGCCCGAGGAGGAGGCACGTGCCCGTGGACCCGGCGACAGAGAGTCCAGGGCGCTCTCGCTGATCGAATGGCTGGCCAGGCCCGGCGGCGAGCTCTGGCCGACGGCGGCAATCGTTGTGGTCAGCTGAGCGGCATCGGTGGTCAGCTGCGACAGGCAGGAGACGGACCAGGGACGCTCCGACTTGCGACGCGTCTGCGGACGCTTAACGATCTTCACATTCAGGCTCTGATTGCTGCTGCCATAGCCGAGGGGCGTGGCCGGCTGGCCGATGGGCTCGGCGGAGCCGCCAATGCGTTCCGTTGAATTGCCATACGAATTGGTGCTCGTCTGCAGGCACGTGGCAATCGAGTCGGTGAAGCCCTCCGAGGAGTCCGAGTTGCCGCCACAAACGAGACCCGTTTGCGGCATGGAATCCGTTTCGCTGGCCTCGCCGGAGGCCTCGCAGTCATCCGGCTTGCTGGGCACCTCAAGGGCGTGGCTGCGCGTCAACAGCTGCGGCGTGGAGGGCTGATGCTCCAGCCATTCCTGCAAAGAGTTAAGGAAAGAGTTTAGTTGGAGTGTGTTTTTGTGGATTGCGGACTGATTGGGGCATACCTCGACACGCTGCTTGATGGGACCGGGCATGGTCAGTTCGCGCTTCTTGACCGTCGACGAGATTTTGATGATGGAATGTTTCTGCTTCGTTGGCGTCTTCAACGCTGCCTCCTGAGCGTCGCGCACCATATGCTCCGCTTCGAGCACAAGCTGCTTGATTGAATCATGCGAGACCTTGCCCTGCAGAGAGAGTAAAGAGAAGAGAGAGAGAGAGAGAGAGAGAGTTAGTTAATGAGCATGGCGAATTGTAGTGCTGCTTGAGTCATTCTGCTCAACTGACGCAGCCGAAGAACAATTTAGTGTAAATTGAGGGCGTATGAGGAAGTGCAACAACAGTTGCCCTTTCCCTAGAACAAAAGCAGGCTGTGGGCAGCGAATGAAAGAGAGAGAGGAAGGGAGAAACTTGACCAGATAGTGGGCAGATACGGAGAGAGGGGGAGAAACTTTTCTAGAGCAGGGGCTGGCTGTATGCAGCGAGTGAGAGAGAGAAACTTAACTAGAACAGGGGCAAGTTAGAGGGAGATAGAAAGAGAGAAAGAGGAGGGGGAGAAACTTGACTTGACTTATCAGTGAGTTCTGCGAATTGAAGCAGCGGGCTTCTCGCTTATCGCTCTCGCTTGTTTAGCTCAATTTCTATTCATTCGCTTCGTTCATTTGTGCAGCTGCATTTTATTCATTATTATTCACTCGCATTCATAAAATTTTAGCAAAATATTCACATGATTTGCTTTTTAGCTTATCTTTATTTCTATTTGCATTTTCTTTTTTTCTCTTTTCTTACACTTTCTTATCGTTTTGTGTTCTGTCTTAACGCGTCAATCAAGTGGATCGAGCGGAGTTTGTTCTGTTTTATTTTTTGTGTTGTTCAAGGCCTTGCCAAATTGGTGTTTACCCAAATGTGATGTCATTTTGCATACCCTGTAAACGGGTTCTAGAGAAAGTTGTTTGAGGAGCTGGGAAATTACATTTTGTTGTTCTTTACAAGCTGGAATGCACGGGTTTAGTCAAATAATCGATAGCTGCAAATTGATCGATAGTAACAAAAATCGAATAATAAAATTTGCTTCATAAATTCGTCTTTCTTTTGGAGTAAAAAGTTGAATTCTATCGAAAATTTCCTTTTACAATATACGATTTTTGAAAATTTCTTTTGCTGATGCAAAAATCTACTTATCTATCGAATTTTCGATATATTCATTTGAAGTAATTTCTATTGCTATAACTAATCGATTGGTTATGGTTTATATTTAACATATATTTTAGGTATATCTAGCTGTCACAGTTTACGCCAGATTCTTTTCTGTGGTAGTCTCTACTCAATATCGATATATCGAAAACTATCCTTAGCACAGCTTATAGGATATTTGACAGTCAAAAGCACAGACATTTGATTTATATTATATTTACTCAGTTGCATTTTATAATATCAGAATCAATAAAAAAGGGTTGAAAAATAAATGCTGAAAGACCGACAACAGCTGTTATTTTGGCTTCTATTTGTCCATAAACAAAAACAAACTTTTCTTAACAAATCCAAACGTAAATTTGACGAAATCAATTTGATTGTTCAACCAATTAGAGCCTTGTTCGATTGACAAACCGAAAAGACAAAAAATCAGCGAAGCGTTAATAATGTTTCGATTGTTTTCGTGTTTTTCCCTTCTTCTAAATATTACAAAACTGTTGCCTCTCGAAAATGGTAGAAAAACAAACGCAAACGCAAACGTTAACCTTTTGACAAAAAGGCATTCAAAGTAAATGGTTAATTGCAAATTGTGTTGCACAATTGAACAATTCCAAGGTAGATTTGGCTTTCGAGCGTCGTAAAGTGAGTCAGACGATGCCGTCGGCTGTCGAACAGTGTCTGCCAAATTCAACTTCATTTAGATACACGTAACGTGTATATCTGAAGTTATTTTTTATCACACTTTTTTTTTGCAGAAAGTTTAGCTCTGGCTGTGTTGAACACATGCTTCAATTTTATGGCTAATCTTTGGCTTAATTTAATTAACAGTTTCCTGTGGACAGCCCAGTTTGAGCTGCACTGTGAGTGTCAAACTGCGTACAGCACGCCGGCTGCTGTTGCACAAACAAACACACAAACGGAAACAATTTTCCCAAATGTGCAAATGTTCAACGTTTTACGGAGTTGCTGCAGTTGCTGCTGCTGCTGTCCAACTCGAGGCGGGCATAAGAAACAAACCAACAACAATTGAAAGGCCTTTGCGATTGGGCGTTTGCGATAATTAAAGGCAATTATATGAGTTTGGCTTTTTGCTTAGCCATTGGCCAATTAAGTTAAACTGGAAACTTTAACCACTCAACTAGCGCTGGAAACTGAGCCAATGCCGTGCGAGAGACTGTAACGATAGTCATGCGATAGTTTATTGCTGCTTAAGATATTTGGCAAGTTTAAAAGCAACAAGTTCGGTTTGACTTTAGCTAAAGTTTATAGTGTTCTTTGATGCGATAGTTTAACGATGTTTATGCGATATTTCTGTTAACTAATCAAAAACATTGTTTGGATAGCTTCCAATTTTCTTGACGGTTAAACTCAAGATACATTGCAGGCTTTTTGCAACAAGTTCTGTTTGACTTTGGATAAAGTTTATAGATTTCATTTATGCGATAGGTTAACGATATTTATCTTGTAAACGAATTTGTCACGATAGTTTTGCGATAGTTTTATGGAGATAATTTCAAAAACTTTTTAGTAGAAAACACCAGGTTCTTTTTGAGTTTAGCTTAAGTTTGTAGCTTTGATTAATATTTTAACTTATTATTTAATATTATTTTAATTTAATATAATTATAGGCGAATTTGATAGTGTTTGTCATACTGATATACTCTACACCAGGCACGTAGCCATTTTTGATAAGGAACTTCATAATTTTAGCTCATAAATATTTATAAATATCCCAATAAAGTTCAACTCTACACAGTTTGATTTTCTTGCACTTTGTAGGCGATAGCTTAACAATAGTTAATTGTTTTTATCTTGGGCGTATCTGTTGGCGCCCAACAACTTTTGGGCAACAAATTCATATAACATGAATAAATATTTGTGGACTTACTAAGAGTTCAAGTTCCTGCAGTTTTCTTTTATAGCCTGCTGCTCACGCGCCCATCTCTAGTGCGGCCAGAGGCTACACAGTGGCTGACAAACTGTTGAAATGTCTATGGACAGCTTTAACTTTTTGTTTTTGGGGCCTTGACAATCGTCGTGGTTCTTTTTTTTTGCGCTATTTTTTCTTCTTTTGCCAATTTAATTGCACTGCGGCACGCACGCAAATCGCGAAATTTAATCGCGAATGAGTGTACACAGTTTGACAGGCACTGCGCGCGCTTAATTACACACTATTTTATTTGTTTTTCTTTTTTGTTTTTTTTTTTGGTTAAGCAAAATGCAAATTACGCGAAAAGCGGATAATAACAACAAGTTTAAACTAACAATAATAATAACAATAACAATGGCAAATGCTGCTTTCTATTGTTTGTGTATCTTTTGTTACAGTGTATCTGTGCAAATGTATCTGTATCTTTTGTATCTGTATCTGCTGCTGTCGCTGTTACAACCGGCGACGGCAACTGCGCGAAACGTACTGAAAGTTCGCTTTGCGAATTCAAATACAATCGAAGATTTTGATAATGGCACCACGGTGCGCGGGGCACAGTGCACAGTGCCGATAAGATAAACGCCGTCAAATGTATCGAAAAATTTCAGTTTGCCCCGTCATCGAGTCATCGAGATTGTCATCGATTTGCTGCGCCTACTCTACGTGTGCTCGTTGATTTATTTTAATATCTATTATATATATTTACTTTTCCTTCTGTTAATTTTTGTTAACAAGTCAATTGAGAGCTCGTTTTATTTGAGCGACATTCGAGTGCGTTGCGATAAGATAAGATTTGGCATATTATATGAATTTTTAGTTCGATTTGATTTTCAAATTGTCGCAGCGAACGTCATCGATGTTTGGTTATCAGCTCAGCTGGTTATCTCGCAGGCAGCGCGCCATCAATTGATATGCAAACACACAGATTTGCATTGCGAAATGCATAAATTAACAAAAATAAAAACAGTAAAAATAAAATCAACTAAAAAATGGCGAAATGCGAAATTTGTCAATATTAATCAAAGCGACGCGAATTTCACTCTCAATAAATCAGCGCACGCAACGCAGACTTTGGGCCGGAGACTCTCTGGAGCTGGTACTGCCCTCGGGTGGATGACAGTGAAAACTGCGTGCGACAGACCTGAGTTTGGTTTGGGTTGAGGAGGTTGAGGGGAGAGGTTGAGGGGGGGTTCAACTTGTGCTGCAATCGACTTGTCAGCGACAAATGCAAATGACGCACACACAAGAGCAACAGGCAACAGAGCCAAGAGCATACATGAGCAACATGTTGCTGGTATTGCCGATGTTACCGTTTGTCTGGCCAAATAAAAGTGAGAGTTGGATAACAAAAACCAGACATTGCTCATGTCCAGTCAGTTAATAATTGCTTTAATAACAGCCAAAAGGGTAGTTGTCAGTGCTTAACCAGACTAAGCTTACATACATGCAATTTTGAGAATCGCAAAGAGAGGCGAACACAAATGTATGAGAACATGGCATTCATGTGAGCGTCAGCGATTCTAACATGTCAATTATAAGCGAAAGATACTTTTAGAACTTTTTTTACCAGTAAAATAAAAGTGGATCTATTTTATGTTCTTCAATTATATCATCTGACTGAATCTACTTTCAGTTAAAGTATTTTAATTGGAAAAATTTATGCAAAATGTAATTTATATGAATTTTTCTTAATCCGGAATGCTCAGAGAGCTGCCTGCACTTTATTTAAATTAATAGATACTAAGATACCCAGATACCTAGCACTGAAATATGTGAAAATCACCGAGAAAGGCGTTAGAAAAGAGAACTGATTGATTTTTGGGCTATTGTTGAAAGCTGTATTAAATCTGTGCTAAAATTTCTAATAATTTTTTAAAAAACTATTCAAGAAAAAGTTTTGAACAAGAGATTTTTAAAATTGTTGCCAATTTCCAGACCAAGTTATTTGCCAATTGTGGCCGCTCACATGCTTTCATTTCCCAACACTCGGCCTGTTGATTTCCACCCGCTGATTTTCACAAATAACTTCAGCGAATTTGTCTCAAATTACAAAGATGCTCGTTTACAGCCCATTACACGCGGCAACTTGTCATTGGACATGTTTGGGGGACATGTTTACCAGCAAATTGACACGAAAAAGCCACAAAAAGAGCTTAGAGAAATTTAAGGCGAATCCACACACACACACACAGACTCAGATACACACACACACTCAGATACACGCACCGTCGGACCACCGGCAAAGTCGTTCAATTGAATCGATGGATCGATCGATACTCGCAACTCGTGTGCATTTCAAGCGAAACTGAAACCATGAGAGCCCAGCCAAACAACAAAGAGCAGCCGGCCTGTTATACATACAGAGGCCACAGCTCTGGGCAGGCTCAGCTTGGCTCTTGGCTCTCGGCTCTTGGTCATGGACACGGTTGTGCGAACGTGCGACACGCAATGTGTCCAAGTCGTTGGCTGCGTCACACAAGATGACAAATTGCAAAGTACCGTGAATTGCATTCGTACTGCATTGATGAAAGGGAAAATGCAGCAGTTGTGGGGGCAGTGTACACTGAGAGAAATTATCGACTGTTTATGGAAAGGTGCAGGTATAAATAGAAGAAATCGTGTCTTGGAAGCTCAACTTCATATTACTTGATAATATATAATATCATTTTAATTTAAATTGCTTTAATTTTAAGCCCAAAAGTAAGTCGACTAAATTTTTTCTCAGTGTTTTGATCTTTTATAAATCAAAATAACTTTTGTCAGCGTGGCAGCCAAGTGCGACTAAGAGAAAGCAGACTAGAAGACATTGCTCAAGCTGTCACTGGACAAAGATGAAGCGCAGGAAATGTTTCCGCTTCCTTAGCGCAAAGAGGGAGAAAGAGAGATCGACAGAGAGAGAGAGAGAGAGATAGAGGGGGAGAGACTTACCTTAGCTGGCGACATAGTCGCATTGCTGCTGCTCGCCTGCGATTTGGCCGACTTGGCGGACTTGGCCGGCGAACGGGGCGGCAAACGATTGCCACCATTCTGTTGGCCATTCGGAATGGGATTTCCATTGCTGCAGTTGCTCATCTCAGTGGGCCAAACGCTGATGTTGCAGATGTCGGCGCGGCTATAAAAACTGCTGTTGTTGTTGTTGTTGTGGCACATAGACTGCAGCTGGGGGTGAGAAGCAGAAAAAAGGCAAACCGAAACTTGCTTTAATTAAAAATGCCAAGAAAAGCGTTTACTTAAAAGCGAATGCCTTCTGTCTCATAATCAATCAGCTGGATTGGCCGCATAGCCATTTCCTGCTGGGGCATTTTTCGTGGATGCATGGCTCTATTACAATGTGGCTGCCACCAATACCCATAAATCTAGCCCGGTCGAACGTGTCCTCGTTGCGGCAACTCTGTCGCTGTCGTCCCTTTCAATTGTACAAACTTTGCCAACTTTTGTATACCTTGTACCCACTGATTAAAGGGGTATATAACAGCTGTGCTCATGTATATAAAAGGGAGACAATTTAAATACAAGGGTCCATCCCTTTTATCGATAATTCCATATTATTTCTATCCTGTCGATAAATATCGATTTTGAAGAAAGCTTTTTAAACATATCTCAAAGAGATTTAAACCAAAATGCAATAAACTTGGCACGTAATACTTTGTCTAGTAAACAAGAAAAAATAAATCTTACTTTAAGATTCTTTTTCTAACTCCTCTCAAAATAGAAATAATCGATAATAGGCTTGATTTTTAGTACACACGCATATTTGAGTGCTATCTTCAAGTCTTGAAAACTTCAGAAATATGAAATTTGAGTTTAAAGTTATCATAAATCGTTGCGAGGTATCTTTTAGTCGGTCACTTGCGACTAGAGCGCTGTTAGTCGCCTTTTTTTGTGTGCCGCAATGAAGAAATAAATCACACGTTTTTAGTTAATTTCGTACTTTCCCATTTTTGACGTGCGCTGCTCAGTTTTTCCTGGACTATCGCCAGCTCTGTCGACCTGTCTGTCAGTCAGTCAGCCAGGCAGTCAGCCAGCCAGCCAGTTAGAGGAGGCAGCAGCCCAGCAGCAGCAGTCGGGAGTCGATAGTTTGGCATCAATTTTGAATGGCAGCTGCTGCTGCTGCTGTTGGGACGGGACGGGACGGGAGTCGGTCGTAGTTGGTGCATGATTCGCTTTCATTAACCCAACTGCTTAATCATCAGGTGCACGGGAAAACCAAAGCAGGCAGGCAGTAGGAAAAAGAGGCGGTAGCCATTTATTGAAAAGGTGCCCCCCTCTCGCAGCTAGGCTCACCTTTTCGGCTGCTTGGTATTGGGCTAATGGCAAACAAAGTTGCAACAAAGTCCAACAAAGCAACTTTATTGACACAAGTCAGAGACTCTTGCCAGACAGAGTCAGCGATCGAATCGAAATCGAATGCAACACAAGCGCAGACGGAGACTTGGACTCAAGAGTCCGAGACTCGCAAAACTCGAGACCTGATGGCTCAAGACTCAAGGTACCCCGTGCGGCGAACTGTGGGAACCTGTGTGGCATACACCAAGCTGTCTGCAACATACTATTGTAGCATGTCTGTGATTTGTATTTGCGAATTTTGCGATTTGTGGTCTATAAATGGTAGGGCTCAAAACACTCGAAGAGTTCTCAGCGCATGTTCAAACTTGTTGCTTATTAGCTGATATATCTGGCAGGCTATTAAGAAATAATGCAAATGGAAATAAGCAACGGATGGGAGATTAAGCTCAAATATTCTCTTGTTATGGCAATGATCACATCATGCAACATTTGACATTCATTTAGGTTTAAGGTATTCCTCAGCTGAGCAGCTGCAACAGTTATTGAGAAGTCTTTCGATTAAAGGAAAACTATCGATAGTCCAAAAATGTTAATTGAAAATCATCGATAGTTCTTAGGTATTTAGTCAAATCTATCTATATATGTTAATGCATACACACTACGCTGCCAAAGGTAGCCTTTTAAGGGCTGTCAACTTATCTTTCAATCCCAGCTTTTACTTTTAAGTATAAACTAGAAGTAAGCTTAAGTAAAAAAAAATCGTTGTGAAGATTTCGTCTATCGATAAACATAAATAAATATATTTTGCCAAAAAATGATCGATATATAGCTAGCACTGGAACCAACAATAGTTTTCAGCTTTCTATCGCTATCTTCGAATCCAAAATATTGTACTAAATAAAAACTATCCAACTATTTTTTTTGGCATAAGATCAACTTAGTAATACTTTAATAATTCCATCTCCTTCAATCAGAGGGCAGTTAATATGTTGGTGGAAAAAGTTATCATTGGAGCTCAGTTCCAATATTTTGTGACCATGTATCTTTTCCACTGGAAAAATTTTCAAATATATTCTGATTCTATATCATTCTAGCTAAGCCAATATATCTTTATATATTTATATCTTTCTTCTGGCAATTCATTCATAGAAAGCTTTTCAACTGGACACCTTTTCAATATTTTTTGATCTTTTAAAACTTCCTCTGGAAACCTTTTCTAATACTTTCTGATCCTACAGCACCCGATCTATGCCATTATATCCATATATCTTTCGTATGTCAATTCATTCATAGACAACTTTTCCATTGGAAACCGCTTTAGAGATCTCTCATTTCTAACTGTATCATATTATCTAAAACTTTTATCTTAAATCTAGGCTTCGTTTTGTCTTTCTCCCAAATTTGATACATTGCTAGATAGGTATATATATATTTCTTTGCGACCCCTATATCATTCGTAACTTAAAACCTCTGATTATCTTAGTAATTCACCCAAAATGCACTCCGTTAAGTTTAAAGGTTTACATGTTGATAACATTATCGCCAATGACACTTGACTCTCACTCACCTGTGCTGCATTTCCATTTACATTATCGGCAACAGTTGCCTCATCAGCGTTCTCCAGATTTGCGCCCATTTTCAGCAGTTGCTGTTGCTTTTGCTGTTTAGAGTCCAAGCGCGACTGTTGCTGTTGCTTGTGATTATTGTTATTGTTGTTGGCATTCAGTTGCTGCTGCTGCTGCTGACTGCTGCTGTTGTTGTTGTCGCTGTCGCTGTGCAGTTGTTTGTAGCAATTGTTGCTAATGATGTGTCTTGTGTTGGTGGTGCTGCTGCCATCGCTGGCGCTGCCATTGATTTGCAACTGAATGTCCATGTCGACAACGCTGCGCTGCATTTGGGTAACCCGCGACGTGGCCGAGGTCTCCGTATGGACACCGTTCGAATTGGACGAGGAGCAGGCGCTGCTGCTGTCGTAGTTGCTGCTGTTGCCAGTGCTGCCAACACCAGTTGCAATTGCAACAACAGCAGTTGCTGTTGCCGTTGCTGTTGCTGTTGCCGTTGCTGTTGTCGATGTGGTCACCAGCGTCTCCTTGTTCTCCTTATCAGAGTCGTCGCTGGGCGCAGCGCTGACTCCTCCAACGGCGCCAGAGGTTGTCGACGAGATGGCAGCCGACTGCAGACCATCGACTGTGGATATTGCTGCTGCAGTTGCAGTTGTTGTTGTTGCAGCTGCTGTTGCTGTTGCTGTGTAGAGCCAACCTTCGTCGTCGTCATCCGATGAGGCATCAGCCGATTTTAGTATCTAGAGTTTGTCGGAAGGGTAAACGAAAAAAAAAACGTTAGTATGGAAAATTAAAATCAAGCAAAAGCTGTGTGGGCCCACGTCACAGTCACAGTCGCAGTCGCAGTCACAGGCTGTGCCTGGCTTGCAATGGCAATGCCCAGCCAGATGAAGATGAAGTAGTAGAAAATGAAGTTTAATTAGCGTTACTTGCGCAGAATGGCAAATTGTAACTTGTAGTCACAACAGCAACAACAATTGTAGCTACAAATTGCTGCTGCTGCTGCTGCTACGACTGCGCATGAGTGGCAAAAATCTTTTGAGTTCGTCTCAAATGCCGGTTGCCAACGCGGCTGCCTCGGCTGGCCTAGCCTGGCCTGGCCTGGCCTGGCCATGGCCCGACTGGCTGGAGGAGTTGCCGCCGTGCCGCCCTCAACCAAATGGTTGTCAGTTGCTGTTGCTGTCGCTGCTGTTGTTTTCACTGTTTGCAATTTATATTAATGCTGCGACGTTCCATTCGGATTGTCTTGGCGACCTTAGGCTTTGCATGCAGCCGAGGCACTCGTCACTTGGGTGTTGGAGGAGCAAACAGCAACAACAACAACAACAACAGCGACGGCAACATCTGTAGGAGCAGCAGCAGGTTGAGCAGCTTTAAAGACAGCTTGCTCGTCATTAAAATATGTAAATTGTGCTTAAAATATTCCTTTTACTCAATAAGTAAACATTTGCAGCGCAAACGTATCTAATTTAAGGTGCTAACGTAAATATCTCTAGTACAATCTCAAGTGCACATTCAGATATTTGAAATAACTTCCATTGAAAAATATATAAACTTTGATAATTATTTTAAAACCCGCGCTAAACAGTACTAAGAGCAAGTAAGAGTGCACTTGTCGGGAGTGTCTAACTTGGCGATACCCTGAACCTAGCGCCTTGCTGCCTCTATCTTCTTCTTTACAATGGGGTTATCCCAAAAGTAAACTATTTCTAAGCTGCATATGCGTTACGAGAACCTACAGACCAAAATTGGTGCATCTAGCTCTTATAGTTTTCGAGTTATCCCTAAAAAAATATTTGTATAAATCGATATTTATCGATAAATTTAAATATGGTTGGAGTTAGCCAAAAGAAAATGATAAACTTGTTAACGAATTTGTATTAAGATCATCTAATTTTTTAATTATACTCAAACAACATATTACTCTAAATCGATATTTACCGATATTATGTAAAGTGGAGGAGTTTTCGAAGAGCAATTAATAAACTTGTTCTGCTTCGCCATACAAAATATTTAAAGTGCAAGTCTCTAGCTTTTATAGTTTCTGAGATCGACGCGTTCCTACAGACAGATAGACAGACAGAGAGACATGGCTAAAAAGACTAAGCTCGTACTGATCAAGAATATATATACTTTAAAGGATGATGACATGTACCTATGCTCAAATCAATATGCCCATTTTACAAATTTTCAATGGGTTCGAGGTTTAATTAATACTAGCTACTATATCCTCCGGCTACGACACCACAGACATCTATACTCTAGAGGCTAAGCTTCTAACCAGGTACCTTCATTTTGCAGTCGCCTCAAGCATTAGGTCATTTGGATAAAAATCAATTTATCAATTGTTCACTTCTTTCAGATCTGAGCTTATTTTGATCTGGGCTGCTATTGAAAATTCATCAAATCTAAGAAAAGCTCTCTTACTTTCGATGTGAACTGTGAGCTGCAGTTCATGGAACAACTTTTGACCAGGAAATCGATTCATTAACATAAACGGAACTAGTTATATTTGGCTGTTTGGGCGGAGAGCTGAAGAACGGCTGACCTCTGGACATGGATTGAGCCCCGGGCGCAGGTTGTCTGCTTTTGAACTCTAGCCTGATGTTCGTACGCACGAAAGTCGTTTAATGATTAATGATGTGGCATTATGACTACCAGATAATGAGCAGCAAAGTTAATTAAGAAATTGTTAGGCATGCCAAAGATTATACGAAATATAGATACACATATGGTTAGTCAAATATGAAAAATGCAAATAAATTAACAGATGCAAAAAGACATGCAAATTGAAGCGCATTAGGCATGGGTTTAAGCAACGCGCAGGGTTGCTAATGGCGCACAATCGAGCGTGCGGCGATTGTCGATAAGTTTCCGATAACCGCGACGAATTCGCATTGGAAGATGGCATATATGTACGTAGAGAGAGACCCAACGCACCAACAGTTATAGAGAACCGGTCACCGGTCGCCACCTGGCTGATAACGGTACTTACTTCGTTGGGTTGACGAGCTTCCAACTCGCCGGCAGCATCGGTGCCAGCGGTGCCGCTCGTCTCATTGTCCGTATCCAAATGCTTAAAGTAGAAGATGGCGCAGTTCTTGGACTTGCGATTGGAACGATTGAACTTGGAGGTGTCATTGTGATGGCCGCGATGTGTTGCCGCCTTTCTCAGCACCGTTGGCGACTTGTTCAGCTCGTGTCCGTGTCCGTGTCCGTGCCCGTGTCCATGGCCATGTCCGTGGCCATGGCCATTATGATGGTTATGATTATGGGTATTGGGCGTGATTACGGCCACGGCGATGCTTTTCGGCTTGACGCCATTGTGGCACTGTGGCGGCAACATTTTGACGTTGCCGTGTCGCGTCTGCAACAGCGACAAATTAGCCAAATTGGGCGTGGAGCTGCTGCTGTTGTTGCTGCTGGCCTGCGACATGTCTAGCACATGACCCACTGTCAGTTGATGGTGGTGCAGCTGTGTGCTGTGTGTAATGATGGGCAGCACCACACGTCGCTGATTGATGAGTAGGCTGCTGCTGCCACCACCAGCGCCGCCTCTTCGCAATTGCTGCACCTGCTCCAGATCGCTGCTCTCGGAGTCGGCCTCAAAGTCGGTGAGCGTGGCTGCTGCGGCGGGTGAGTTGCTGTGACTGTGACTGAGATGATTTTGGATTTTGGATGGACGCCAGGCGCGTTTGGCAATCACAAAATCAACAACGTCTGCCTCGTCGTCGTCCTCCTCCTCTGGCTCCTCGTCGGCCTCGTCACCAGGCTGCGAGTTGCGGCAGTGGAACAAAGTTTGGTTAGGCAAAATGCAGTTGCAGGGAGTTAAGGGGTCAAAGGTTCACGCAAACACACGCACACACAAATAAAAATAACAACAAATTTACATGCTGCTGCAGTGCTGCCAACTCGGGCGGATTTTTAGGGGCTTATATCGAAATGGTGGCTTCTTTGGCCAGTTGCAAGAAACTTGAGTGCGTTTGTTTTATGTTGTAATTGGGATATAGAGTGGGTGGCAAAGAGTTAACTGTAGCTTAGTGAGAGGTCGTGAACAGTGGTGCCAATTTTTAGCAATTCTAAGAATTACCAGTGCTGTAAAAGGCATTAATGGCGGGCTGCCAGCTCGGACGGAGCTTCTGTTTTCACAGTAAATTGAAAAGAATCTTCTTTGGCTAAAATATTCTCAAAATTTTTCTTTTATTTTAAATTTAGGATATAGATTTGACGCGAACAGTTGACTATACTTTAGAAAGCACGTGAACAGTGCTGCCAATTTGAGCTGAAACTTTGAGTTTAGAGCGAAAAGATGGCTACTTTCGCTAAGAGCAAACTTTAAATTTCTTTTATTATTAAATTTTGACTTTGAATTAATATTTTGGTGCTTAAAGTGTTGACAGTACTATAAAAATTGCTCAAACAGTGCTGCCAAATCGGACGCAACTTTTGGGTTTTTAAAGAAATTATGGCTACTTTTGGCTTTATCAAGAAATTCCTCAGTTCTGTTTTTTTCCAACTAAATGATGGCTACTCTTGTCCATACCAAGAAGTTGTCTACTTATTTTGTTCAATTTTAGAATTGAAGTGTAATTAGGTCGCTCAAAAAGTTGCCAGTGCTGTAAAAGGCGTTCATACTGTGCTGCCAACTCGTGCCAAAATACTTGGATTCATTTCACAAACGTAGCTGATAGTTCTCAAGTTTCTTTGCTTAAATTTCGTTTTCGGGATTTGGGTTGTGGAGCTTTTAAAAGTTGACAAAACTGTTTTGGGCATGCAACACAGTGCTGCCAACTCGGGTATCTTGGGGGTCATATCGAAAAGGTAGCTTCATTAGCAAGTTCAAGTTCTTGACTGCTTTTGTTCAATTTGGAAGGAATAACAGGTCGCGGGTTAGGTTATTAGGCTCAAAAGAAAAAGTTGACAATACTGTAGAAGGCATGCAGAATTCTAACTAGCAATAGCAATAGCAACAACTACATACAAGAACAACAACAACATACAATACAAAGAGTACGCGCGCACAAATTTGGCATATATGCAAATGTATTTAATTTACTTTACCTTTTGGGTTGCGATACAATCGCGTGACTGATCCTCGGCCTGAACGTTGGCGGCAACAATCTCTGTGGCAGTTAGCTGACAACGTTGCAACAGCTCCGTCGAGTTGTGACTCGGCGCACAACCACTCTCGCACTCCAAATCCAAATCGGAGACAACCTCGTTCAGATCGTCCTCGGTGGCAGCGTCGCCGTCGCCTTCGCCCTCGTAACCAAATGAATCGTCTTCGGTATCGTCGTCGTCATCCAAGCCGTTCTATGAGATGAGAGCAGAACAGAAGATTATGCATGTGAGATATGATTGAGAGGAAAGTAGAGAGTAGGAGTATAATTATGTAAACCTCATATGGGTCCCTTTTAGTAAATATAATTCAAGATATCTAAAAATTAACTAATAAAGTCCTGTAATGTTGGAACATATCTATATATATTACTCTTAAAATTATCTAAGCCCATTAACAGGGTATGCTCAAGTGGCAGCAACTCGCATGTCTAATTGCCAGTAGTTTATTACTGTGGCAATATGAATTTCAGCTTTTAATTGGCCAACTTGATTTGGATCTGAGGAAAGCATAAATATTGCTCAACCGTTGGTCAGTCGCATTTTCACAATTTTCACACATTTCCAACACAATTTCCCATCACGTAACGAGGCGCGAGTTTCCTTCTTCACATATGTTATAATTGCTTTCAATTGCGCCCGGGCCAAGAGCCAGACAAACAGACATGAAATAAAAAGAAAACACGACAAACGGACAAACAGTTAGCTGCCCAGACAGATGACAGATAATCCACAAAGTAAGGTGGAGGAAAGCCAAGGCGCACACGTCACATGTGGGTGGGGTGGAGGCGGCGCGTACTCATCTCATGCGGGGGCAGACCATGACGCCCCTTGAAACATGGAAAACACAAGTGCTCAACATTTTGGGAAAGCTACCTCATAGCTGGCAGCTTAACCTCAGTTGACCTTGGCGCGCCCTTACCCAGCCCCCTGCGCGCTGTTACATTAATCCAAAAACATTTCTGTTTTGCAGCTCATAAAAAATGTAGGAAAATCTAATTATTAGCTCAGCCAATTGAACATGTATGAATTGTTTTTGATCACCCGCCACATGTTGAACAAGTTTATTTCCTTGGCTTTCTGTGGATTTGCGTAATCTTGAGTGTAGTCTCTGCTGGGCCATAGGAATTTCGTGTTAACGAGGCCTTCTGAAGGTCAGGCAGCAATATAAAATTTTGTTCTTCTAAGAGGCAGCTATATTTGGAACTCTTGCCGCATATAAACAAGAGAGAATGGCTAGAGTCTAGTTGTCGAAGATGAAATGCCCTTCTGAACTTTCCCACCCCCATAACTTGGTCAAAAATCAACGAATTTTCGTAAGGTTCGGCTTTTTGTTAATGGTTTGGGCTCTAGATTAATTCGGCATCTAAATCTGGCAACTTTATTTTTGGTCGAAATTCATGTGATAATGGTACCCTCAAATATCCTATATAGACATAGGTCAAAATTTCCCAACCTTATAACTCTGTCAAAACTCAACCGATTTTCATAAAGTTTGAATTTTTGTTCATGGTTTGGGCTCTAGATCAATTTGGCATCTTAATCTGACAACATCATTCTGGGTCGAAATTCAAGTAAAACTGGTACCCTTAAATATCCTATATAGACTTAGGTCAAAATTTCCCACCCCGATAACTCGGTCAAAACTCAACCAATTATCATAAAGTTTGGCTTTTTGTTCATGGCTTGAGCTCTAGATCAATTTTGGCATCTAAATCTGACAACATTATTTTTGGTCGAAATTCATGTGATAATGGTACCCTCAAATATCCTATATAGACATAGCTCAAAACTTCCCACTCCATAAGTTGGTCAAAACTCAACCGATTTTCATGAGGTTTGGCTTTTTGTTCATGGTTTGGGCTGTAGATCAATTTGGCATCTTAATCTGACAACATCATTCTGGGTCGAAATTCAAGTAAAACTGGTTCCCTTAAATATCCTATATAGACTTAGGTCAAAATTTCCCACCCCCATAACTCGGTCAAAACTCAACCAATTATCATAAAGTTTGGCTTTTTGTTCATGGCTTGAGCTCTAGATCAATTTTGGCATCTAAATCTGACAACATTATTTTTGGTCGAAATTCATGTGATAATGGTACCCTCAAATATCCTATATAGACATAGCTCAAAACTTCCCACTCCATAAGTTGGTCAAAACTCAACCGATTTTCATGAGGTTTGGCTTTTTGTTCATGGTTTGGGCTGTAGATCAATTTGGTATCTAAATCTAACCTTTTTTTTTAGTCGAAATTCATGTAAAAATTGGTATCCTTAAGAATCCTATATAGACATAGGTCAAAATTTCCCACCCCAATAGCTTGGCCAGAATAAATATACTTTTAGTTTCGTAGTTTTCTCCTTCCGGCTGTAATATACTATCATCATATCCATTTGCAATAGTTACAGGGCATATAGAGACATGATTTATAGTGTATTGGCAGCCCTCAGACATTAACTAGGCGCCTTTTGATTAGTTTGTTTACAGTTTTTCCACCACAGAGTTTTCCTTTGAAGCACACACACAGCAGGTGTAATTGGGCCAGACAAACAAAGTCGGCCCATTGGAAAAATCTAAATGGTTTTCAGATGGACACTAACACACATCAATTTAATGATAAGCAAATATAAGAAATTAACTTGTAAGCTGTTGCAGCTCGGGCTGGGCAGCTGCCCAATTGGATAAACACTTTCTATAAATTAGCATAACACCCGCATTTTGTAGGCTAGAGATCTTAACTAGATGGGCGAAAGGCTAATCCAATAAAAATCAATGACAAGCTAAAGATAACAGTTAAACCTCTTCTTTTTTCATTGAGTTCGGTTCAACTTCTCGCTGTTGCTTCTCGCTGACTTTGACTCTTTTGTTGGGCTGCTGCCCACAGTTTCTCGGTGCTACAATTTATGGACTTATTATGCAAAATGCATTTGCCAGGCCGAAGGCACGGATAAAATCAAAAGGTGGCAACGCCTGCCAACAACGCCCGGTTGTTGTTGTTGTTCTTTTTGCTGGCGGTTGTTTCCTTTGTTGCCTCTGTCTGCCTCTTTTTTTTTTAGTTGGAAATTAAGTTCAAGTTTATCGCAACGCACTTCACGCGAAACGACGGCCATGTGTATGGGGCGGCCGTTGGGCAGGGGCGTGGCACTGCAGTTGGACACGTGACGTGTTGTGTTGTCGTGTTGCCAGCTTAACACCTCATTTGCAGGCAACTTCGGAGCTGAGCTTGGTCTCTTGCTAAAACTATCATTAGGGGTTCGCGATAAGCATCTGCCACGTACAGTGAAACCTAAACAGCAACAACAACAACTACACGCAATCTCTCGCTCTGTCACAATTCTCATGTTCATTTCTCATTTTTTCTTCTTGCACCTTCCAAAGAACTTTAGTTTGTTGCACGAAAAACAGCTCGAAATGTTGTGTTGTGTTCTGTGTACTCCAAAATCCGATTACTCGATAAGTCTTTGAGGTACTTTGAAATGCGTTTGTCTGGGAAAATGTAGCCGAGTGCTTTTCCATGTTGTTTGCTTTAGCTACCGTTTTTCCACCATACACATACATATTTTATGGCCTCTTTGTTGTCGTTTTTAAGTCGAAATTATGAATTTCTCACACGCCAACATTTAATTATCACTAAACGCTTTCATGTCATCGATGTGATGGATACCTCTATTAACATATAAGCCCCCTTTGGGGGCGTGTAATTGTCGTGCAATAAAATAAGAAGAAAAAAAACGTGAGCTGCAACTGGAAATTGTTTCTAGTATAAAGTGCATGCCATGTATAAGAGGCAAACAAATGAAAATTATAGCTGACGGAGCTCAGCTAAAAGGTATTTTATAAAAACTCTAGAATTAATACACTCTGGAAAAATGAGTGTGCACAAATGAGCGTGGGCATGCATTTAAAGAACAATTAAGATATATATAAATGTGGCTTGAATTATTATCAGCTTTGTCAGCTTAAGCTCAAAGTTGTTTCATATTTCCTGTTATAATATCATAAGCAGATCTATTTCTACTTTCTATTATATATTAAGAAGAAGACATATTATACTCTGTATAAAGGCTAAAAGTTTATTTAAAGAAGCTTTTCATCTATCCCAAATATTCCTAATATAGAATAATAAACAACTGAGTTAATATAGATAGGATTTGGTTTATGACAATTATTATTATTTTTATACTCAAATGCAATTTTATATAAGCCCAGATCTTTTTTGCACAGTGTACAGACAGACTTAAAATAGATTTCATATGTCATATGCATTGTTCAAGGTTTTTAAGAGGTTTTTTTGTAGCTGGACAATGGGGTTATGTGACATTTATAAATAAATGTCAGCTGTGTCCAGCTTACAATCAGATATTTTTTTCCGCCACATAAATCTTTTATATCCGTAGAGATCTGACCGAACGCTTCAACAATTAAGTAATTACCGAGATTTGCAATGGAATTTAAATTTATTTAAAAGTGTCAATTGCAACAACGCCATGCAAATGTCTGCAAAGCGCGACAAAATTACAGACATGAGCAGCAGCAGCCGTGACAACAGCGACAGCAACAGCAGCAATTGCCATGACAACAGCAAAAGCGTTGACAACCCGCAGCAACATGAAAACTTCCAAGTCATATGAAAGCAAAAGCAACAGCAGCAGCAAAAACAACAACAACAATAACAACTGGCAACATGCAAAGCTTTTTGCCCCACAGCCTCGCTGCAAAGTATGCGGTGACAACAGCAGCACCCGCTGCAGCAACAATATTATTACTAGCTGCTGTTGTTGTTGTCGTTGTTGTTATTGTTGTTGCTGCTGCACAAAACATTTCCTGGTGCTGCAGCAACAGCAACGGCAGCAACAGCAACAGCAGCAACTGCAGTGCCCACAATTTAGCGCAACTATTACAAATCGCATTAGACGCTAAATTTAGCAAAGTCTTAGTCAAAGCTGCGTTTGTCCCCGCAGCAACAGCAGCAGCAGTTGCAACTGTAACAGCAACTGCAACAGCAGATACATTGTTAGAATAACGACAATATTTTAGCACAAATTGCTGAGTAGATCTGTGGCAAGTTCTTGTCTTGCCTTTGTCAACATTATTGGCAACATGTTTGCTGCAACACAAAAGTGTGCGTGGGCGTGCTGCACACATGTTGCTGGGCCACGCACAGCGGCAATTGCTCATAATTTTGCAGGTTG